GTATCTGAAGTTTTTCCTCCTTGGTACACCATTACAGCCGGGCACCATGCCCAGGCTGGTATCCCCTTACAAGCAACCAACCTGCAACCCTGTGACGCTGCCAGAGAGGAAAAATACCCTGGTCCCCTGCACAACAAGGCTAACGTAGAGACAGGGAGTTCATCTGGTGGACTGGGGAGGGGCTGGGGCCCCTACTGTGGTTCAGGGGTGCCGGACTCCTGGGCTCTCTCCACAGGCTGACACCTCTGAACATGGAAACTCCATTCTGAGCAAAGCAGGTAGTGCTCCATCAACAGGCAGATTGCTATAATTATCAATAATCCAGGGCTATTTTTGGGCAGGAACGCACAGGAACGGAGTTCCGGCTGGCTCCTGAGTTGGCCACGCCCAGCAGGAACTCATTAGCATAATAGGCCACACCCAACAGCAGAAACTCATTAGGATTGGCTACATTAGGGGTGTGTGGCCTAACATGCAGTTCCTGCTCCAAAAAAAGGCCCTGGGTTTTGACAACAAACAAGGTAAACAGAATAACAAGCAAAAGGTGGGTGTGGCTGGATGACCACACTTCTGGTAACATGGGGGTGCGGCCTAATGTGCTAATGAGCTGTGCTGTCAGGGGTGTGGCCTAATATGCGAATGAGTTTCTGCTGTTGGGTGTGGCCTATTATGCTAATGAGTTCCTGCTGGGCTTTTTCTACAAAAAGAGCCCTGATTAATGACAAAGCCTAAATGTTGTGAGGCGAAGGAGCTGATGCAGGCCAGTGAACCTTCAACTTCCCAATGCAATTTCTAGGTCGGCATGGAAGACACACATTTTTCAGATATTTGTTTCGGTATTATCCAGATCCCCCAACTCTGCCACAGAGGAACCCACGTTTCAGATGGGATTCAGTCTCACTGTCCTCGCGAGTTAGCCTTAGGAACTGCAGTTCTGCACAAGGAGTTCTAAAGAAGACCTTGCTCCCTAAACCACAGTTCCCAGGATTCTTTGAGGGTGAGGAAGTAGAAGCCTTGATGTCCCAAGATGGTATAAACCTTTAATGTCAATATTAACACAATATCCACCCCCAACCTCTACCTAAAATCCTTTTGTTCAAAACATGAGCTTATCTTGACTAAATATCCTGAATCATGTTTTGGAATCATTAATTCTGTTCTTCCAAATTAGTAACACTATTAGTACCAATATTTTCTTGAGTATTTCAAGCCACATTCACATCCGCTGTCTCAACAGCCTCCCTTGATTCTCCCAAGAGACACACCGGACTCTGGTTTGCTCTCTCATCCCTCTAAGCTGTGGAGTCTTGTGAGCAAAAACTCTACTTTGTGAGCAACTGGCATTAAAGTTGTGAGCAAGCAGTTTGGCTACTGCATAAATGAGTTTGCTCTGGAGCCATCCTTCCTGAGCCAAGGCAAAAATGTGTGAGCCGGAGGCTAAAAAACTGTGAGCTAGCTCACACTAACTCAGCTTAGAGGGAACACTGCTCAGGAGTAAGTCTCATTTTCATGAATGGGGCTTATTCCCAGAAAGGTGCTCTTGGGGTTGCAACCTTAATCAATTAATTCGTTGGATTAATCGATTTTTCAAAAACCATTCTGACTCCTTAAAAAGGTAATCAGAAAGACATTAAAAAAACCCACACACAACAAACCTCTGGTTAACTATTTTCAGTACAAATGTGCTTACAAACTGTGCATGGCAATATAACTCTTTCACTTTGGTACAACAAACTCTGGGAGTTATACTCAATGGATAAGCTTTCAGATAAGGTGTCTTCATTTTCTAATGCATCCGGACATAGTGATTTCCAGCTTAAATGGTTTCCATTCCTTGAACACTTTTTCAACAACGATTCATCTAAAACTGTTCAGGTCCCAAAGAAATATTATGATATTGTTCATATGATGTAATATTAACAGCTTCATCTAGAACTGCAAGTATAATATATACTAATACTTTTCCATTAGTGTTATGGTTTTAATTGTGTTCCACTAAGGTTTTTGTTGTTCTGTTGATGTAAATTGAAAAATTGAAATAAAATTTTTATTAAAACAACAACAACAACAAAAAACTGTGCATGGCAGGGCCCATCTTAGAAGAGACATCCCCCCCCACACACACGCCTCTCAGCCAGAAAGGAGTGGCTCCCCTAAGATGACTCCTGCCGCGCTGCATTCTTTCAAAAACAGACGTTTCAGAACTCTTATTGTTGTCTATGTGCAAATGTATGCCAATTCCTCCAAAGAATTTAACTGAAATTGATCGGTGCTAATGCAATCGATTAACAAAGGCAACTTTCACCAACAGGAATCCCACCACATTCTTCCTGCTCAAGCTGCTTTAAAGCATTCAACCTGAAGAAGGCCTGATGGGAGGCAGGCTGCACCAATTGAATTTCTGCCTTGCAGGCCGCCTTTTAAAGGCACAGTTAATTTGGCAAATCCCAACCCATGAGAGGGACAGACACCTCTCCAGTCTGTTTGCCAACCTCCAGGTGAGGCCTGGAGATGTTCTGGCATTACAAGTGATCGCCAGGCTATGGAGATCAGTTCCCCTGGAGGAAATGGCAGGTTTGGAGGGTGCAGTCCACCACACCCCTGGCTGAGCTCCCTCTCCTCCCCCAAATCCCCAGGAATTCTCCGACCACACGTACCCGGCAGAGTCATGAGCACGTCGCAGTTCTCTGTGGGCACCGTCTTCATCCAGGACTTGTGCGACATGACGTAGCGCCCGGCCTGCAGCAGCCGCCTGCCAAACAGCTTGTCTGTGGGGAAAGCAAGGAGCACGGCTGAAAGCACGGAGGGTGAGAAGAGGCGAGGGGGCGGCCCACTCCCCACGCGGATCCTGCTCCTCAGGAACCTACAAGCTGCAGCATCTTCGCCACTTGCGGAAGAACCACTGGCCCCGTTTCCTTTTCCAGCCTCAGGTCGTTGCTGGGAGTAGGCCGGATCAGGGCCAGCCCGCAAAAAAACAAAAAAAACAAACGGGCACTACGGGCAATCTTATGTCAGAAGGACATCCTGAGATGCACTCATGGGGTGGTTTTCTTATGAAGGAGAGCTACACAAATGCAGACACTGTCCCATACTCACTCTGTCTCTCTCTCTCTCTCTCTCTCACACACACACCAAGTGAGGCTAATTTGCCTGGGTTACAAACCTTGAGGTCTCACTTAGGAACCATTTGCTGTGCTGGATCAGACCAGCATATTGTTCCTATCAGTGACAAGCCAGAAACTGGCAGACCGAGATAGACTTCCCCTGTATCTGGAGGTTCCAATAAGCTCCCACGGTTAACAGTCACTGACAGGACCCACCTAAGAACGCAAGCAAGTGCATTCTTCTCTGTTGCTTTTCAGCAGTACATCGTATTCAGAGGAAGGCTGCTTCGGAACATGGAGTTTCCATTCAGCCAGGGGTGAAATGATACTTCGCCCCAGGTAGCTTTGGGGAAAAAGTGAGTCTCACTTAAACGCAAGCAAGTGCATTCTTCTCTGTTGCTTTTCAGCAGTACATCGTATTCAGAGGAAGGCTGCTTCGGAACATGGAGTTTCCATTCAGCCAGGGGTGAAATGATACTTCGCCCCAGGTAGCTTTGGGGAAAAAGTGAGTCTCACTTCGACGGCACACTCTGGGAACGTTCAGAGGCTAAACTGCCTCTGACGGGTAGCCTGAAGGTTGTAGAACAAGGGAAAAGGAAGTTGCCAGGAAGTTGCCAGGAAAACAACAGACCTGCCCCAGGAGCCTGGGGGAGAACAGCAAGAACCTTCTAGAGTTTTGTTGTTGTTGTTTTAAACTGGTGACTTTCCACTGGGTAAAGCTGGGGAGGTGCTTCATCGGAGAACATGTTCTGCACAAAAGA